AGACTTCCCCTCTGCTCATTTTTCACGTAGGGCCTGGATCTGAGATTCCAGCTGCCCTGTCATATGGAAGCCTTGGTCATCAGGATTGGATTCTGTCCACCTGTTGTGTAGACACCCCACCACACCTGTACCATAAGGGCCTTCTGCTGAAACATTCATTTCCAAAGGCTCTGTCAACTCTATCAGTGATGTGCAAGTGATTTCTGTTCAGGATAATAGTTCTTCTTGGCTACATGGTAGTTACTCCCATTAACAGCTGCACTGCGATTCCGGCCTGAACTTTTCTATTTTCCTGTCGAACAATGTCGGCACTGATAAATACACGAAAAGCCATGCAATGATGTGAGACCTTTGGGTTAGGAAAGGTCTAAAAAAGACTTTTAAAACCTGTAAAAGTCTAAAAAAGATGAAAATGCCTGTTCCATTAATTTAGGAAGATGTTTTTCTTTTTTCTTTTTTTAAAAGAAAAAAGCATTTTCACTTTAATCTCCATGGTTATGAAGCCTGAGACCTGACACTGTCCTTGGGCTACTATAGGTGTTCTAGCTTACAGATTTAGTAACCGTTTTCCTTCAATTAACAGATGAGCACCTACTAAGTGGCAGGCCTTTCAAGGTGCAAAGTAAGCAAGACAGGTGGAGACTGGTGTAACTCTTTCATATTTTAATGTAGCTGCAATTAGCCCATAATTTATTTTTGAAAGTAATTTACTTTATTGACTTTGCTTCATGTGGCTTTTCTTGTTATTTATGTGAATCTGTGTACTTCCATAAATATGATGATGATGATAATGGCAATAGAACAGCAGTTAACTCCAGGAATGGATTTGTAGTTTAAAAAGTAATTTCATAAAAAATTATTGATTCAGTGTTTAAGAAAAGATCATTTATTTTTTGTAATAAGCAACTTTTGGTATGTTCATTGACTTTCATTCCAGGATTCCCCCAGATCCCTATTTTTTAACAGTGAGCAACCATTGCATTTAGCAATCTAAATACATGAATTGATAGCTAAAATAATAGTTTACGTTAGACATATTTATCTGAAAAGATACAGTAAGTTTTAATATAACCCTTTGTCTAACACATTTATGGACCTGGTGATTTTTTTTTAAAGCAACTGATCAGTCTATTTTAGTATTATGGTGAAATATAAATTCTTATAAAAGTGAAACTATGTTGGTGGGAATATCTCAACTGTTGTCAGCAGAATCAACACTACTTGCCTTTGCCCAAATGTTTTATCTTATGGGACATTTTCTTTTTTCAGAAGAAAAAAGTGAAACACGAACAGCCTTACCGCGATGAAAGCTCTACCCCCCCCCCTTCAGAAAGTAGAGGTGGCAGATCTGGCCATCAGAGAACAAAGGGCCAAACAGTGAACCCGAGATGGTGAAATAAAACGTAACGTCAACAAAGAAAAGGCCATAGATAAATAGTAAAAGGACCAACTCACCACAAAAAACCCATTGACGTTTTCCCAGAGTCCAGGCGAAGCGCTGGTGACCGGTTAATGTTGGAATGTTTTCCTAGGGTTAAAAGGAGAACCGGCAGCAAGTCTGCTCAGAATTTACAAAGTGTTTGAATAACACGGACAGTGTTTTGATAACACATTTTTAGTGGGGGTGAAAATAATAGAATTTATTGGGACGTTTATATAGGCCCCCTTGGTTGTGTGTGGGGGGATGGGGGGAGGTAAACCATATATCACTGCACTCATCTATAACTGACCGCTGTAATTTATCCATACATGTGTATATGTATTTGATGTGTAATAGTCCCGTAACAGCCAAATGCTTCTCAGTTTTGCTTTTAAAAGATGAGTGTCCTGATAGAGGTTTCCTTTAAGGGAGAGAAAGGGGTAAAGAGGTCCCCTGGCCAGGATGGCAATCACTTTTGTGTTATCAGGGTGAGACAGAGGCATGAAGGCAGTATTGCTTGAGACAACAGCGTGAGATCCTGCATAAACTCACACAGAGGCTTGGCCTTGGCTTCATGGTAACCTTCAAAAGGTTCTTGCTTGCTCCATCTCAGGCTGAAAGGTGCAAGATTTGAGTTAATCCAGCCGGTATTTGGGTCTGGAGTTCCAAGGAGTCCCCATGTTTCCTCCCCAGTGTTGATGTTTTTGTTCAGTGTATTCCAATACACTGTCAGTTGAGCCACGTAAAACCAGGCACCTTTCAATAAATGTCTCATTTGGATTTCATGAAGCTTGGGGTGTAATTGAAATCAAACAGCAAACAGGCTGGAAGGCTCTGCTATTTGCCCACCCAATCTAAGGAGGGTGCTGCCTGACACTTTCACTGAAGCCACTGCCTTGGGTTTCTGTTCTGTTTCTATTTCTGGAAAAAGAGCGTTTGGATTTTAAAGGGCGACTGAGACCCAGGAAAATAATGTCCATGTCTCCTTCTCTAGTTATAAGTAAAATTGAGCCGGCCAAAGGAAAGCCCGTTCCAAGGAGGAAATCACGGATTTGCTCATCCATAATTCTCCAGGCATCGAGACTAGTATCTTCCATATATAATAATAAAAATGTAACTAGTTAATTAGCACAGAAGAACCATTAAATGAGATTTCCTTATCTCTATGAAATAGGGGGAAAATCATCTTTAATTGAAATAGTCCTTTTAATTGTTAAAAAGGTATGTGTAATATATTTTATGAAATGTAATATAAATTATGTATATATTTTTTATGTTCCAAAACTCCTGAGTTCCAGAACAGTTTTTTAGAGCCTGAGTTTTGATTCTCTTCCTCTTTGTTTCTCCGTCTGTAAAATGGGTTAAAGTTTGGGTAAAATAATAGATATATTGGAGAGGTGGAGAGAGAGAAACTGCAGTTTCTTGCCCTAAGAATCAACACAATACTGATTACACATACTGTGTACGTATATATTTAATAATTAGCACTCTGAAGGAGCCCACGCGCTTTCAGGAGCTTGCTCTGGGGCTAGAATAAAATCAGCTCTTTCTGATGTGGCGCGGGGGACAGCTGGCTCGCGTTATTTGCGCCAGAGTGGGTCGGAACGATGCCTGTTGCCTGCGATGGCACTTTGCCACGCGCAGCGCTTCTCTGGCCGCCTCGAAAGCAATTTGAAGGGACACCGAGGTTCGCTTTCTCGCTGTGAGAAAGCGCAAAACTGCTCTCCACCCCAGGCTACCCTATCTTCAAATAGTATGAGATTCGATCTCACCTCTACTTTTTTTCTCAAACACCCCGAAGCTCAGGTGAAGGGTTATGTGAAGGAGCCAACGAGTCTTTGCCAGGATACGTCTCCAAGCCCGCCAATCCATGCGGCCCCTATCCTTTCCTTGTTCTCTCACAACCCTCACGGAATCTCCACTTTGAAAATCATAAAGTCTACAAAAGCACAAAGGACTTGCAAGATTCAAGTCTTCAAGATTTCCCTGGATCAAAATAAAACAAAAGCCGGGGAGACGAGAGTGGACGGTGGGTGATCAGAGCAGAGAGCCACGCCAAACCCGAATTAAACTAACTGGTGGGAAGGGATGCCAGGAGCTCAGGGCTCTGCACGCTGTGGGGACCTGCAGTCAGGCTGCTCTGGCCCGGACCTACGAGGCCCCCGGCCCACTCGCATAACTTGCTCCCTCCCCCTGACTGTGCCTTGACCCTGAACCTTCTCGCGCGCTCTCGGTTTTCACCAGAGCGAAACCCTGGGAATGCCCAGGAGCAACGTCCGCGTTGCCCTAAGGACCGCCTAGCTCTCTAACCCAGACGTGCGGATGTCGGCGTTGCTATGGTTGGAGCCTAGCTGGGAAAGCTTCGAGCGGTTCTGCAAGGGCGTGTGAGGGAGGGTCCAGCAAATCCTGTGGCTGCCTCATCTGTTGTGGGCGAAGAGTTTCCCGTGTGATCGCGTTGGGTTAGGGAAGCAGTGTCCCTACATCTCAGCCAGAAAACGTGCTCCCGGAGCGATTACAAGCCGCGTCTGTAACTGCTTATTAACAGCGAATATTCAACCCTGTCTTTATCAGCAACGAAATATGCCCCGTCTCTCGTAATAATAAAACAATAAAATAGGATGGCATCACTCTTTACTGTCTGCGGAAACGCACGGGAGAAACAGGCAGCTGGGGCAGAAGGGCTTCATTCAATATCAAACTGATTATTTCACTAATTATTCTACCTTCTGCGTTGTGAGGCAGAGGAGAGGCGCAGGGAATCTTAACCGCGAGGCTGCTGGGGGACCTTTGTTTCTCGGTGTCAAGCCCAGCTGAAGATGGGGTGGGGGCAGATCCGAGATTCAGGGAAACTGGGCGGCTTGGATTTTAAAGTGTGGAGAGTAAACGTGATTGCCTCCTGAAAGCAGGCATGTTGGCATAAAAAAAACGATTCCAGTATCTTACCCCACCCGGACTTTTGATTCATAAGCTGAGGGCTTCTGCCCTCAAAGATAGCAGCGTGCTCTGGCGGTCCCCAAATCCCAAAAGCCGAGCGCGAGGCTCCTCTCCACAAATCCTTCTCATTGAGTAAAGGATGGAACCCCGAAAAAGTGGTTCTTGTGTGTTGGAGGACAGTGTGCCTTTAAGTTACAGCCCCTGACAAGGAAAGAGACTTCGCTTGGGCCTCTCTCCAGCTCGCCTCAGATCCCCACCCTCAGGGACTGAGGCCTCCCTGCAGCCAACTTGCTGAGCCTTTCTCCCTCCGGGCCTCTAAAGCCTGCTTCCGCCCCCGCATCCCCCCTCCCAGAGCGTTGAGATGACTTCTGTGCCAAGAGTGGATGGATCCTGCTACGGAGACCCCCAAACCCTGTTCCCCTAAACTCCAGCAAAATACTGACATCCGAATTGATTCTCACAGCAGGAGAGTCTCAAAAAAAAAATCAGACTAAAGGAAAAGAAAGTCGCAGGCGACTTGATCCAATTAGTATATGCTTAATTGAATTAGTGTCACCTCCATCAGCCAATAGGAGGTTCCCGAGGCTGTGGGGCCGCGAAGCCCCTCCCTTGCAACACATATATAAAGCAGCCAATGACAGCCTGCAAGCTTCCAAGTGGTCAACTTGACCGACAGCTTGTCAGTTGAGAAGGGCAGAAAGGCTAGCACTAGTGGGTGGATGGGAGCAGGGAACTAAGTCCTCATCTTCCTGGGCGTGAGTGTGGGAGGAGGGTGGGCGTCCAGAGAGGCTAGAAGGACCGGGAAGAAAAAGGAGAGCACTTCTTGATCAGTTTCCACCTCCTGACTTTCAAACTCTGCGCATTCCTTGCGGAAAGGACACTGGGTTCAGGGCGCGCCAGCGCGCCTGAGCTGCCCGCGTGTCGCCAGGTGGGTAGCCCCGGCACTGGAGGAAGGGGAAGTTACCTTCCCCTCGGAAGAGGGCGCTGGCTCCCCCATCCTGCCTTTATAATAAGGCCGCGGTAGGAGAGGAAGCACTGCCGTCTGCGCTTTGCAAAGCATGCAGTTAGGGGAGCAGCTCTTGGTGAGCTCTGTAAACCTGCCCGGCGCGCACTTCTACCCGCTGGAGAGTGCGCGAGGCGGCGGCAGCGGGACCTCCGGCCACCTCCCTAGCGCGACACCCTCGCCTCAGAGGCTGGACTTAGACAAGGCGCCCGAGAAGTTCTCGGGCAGCCTCTCGTGTGAGGCAGGGAGCGGGGAACCCGCAGCCGCCAGCGCGGGGACCCCCGCGGTCATGCTCAGTGACGCCGACACCGGGGACGCTTTTGCCAGCACAGCGGCAGTGGCCAAGCCAGGGCCCCCGGACGGCCGCAAGGGTTCTCCCTGCGGGGAAGAGGAGCTGCCCTCAGCCGCTACTGCCGCTGCTACGGCCGCGGCCGCCGCCACCGCGCGGTACTCCATGGACAGCCTGAGCTCCGAGCGCTACTACCTCCAGTCCCCCGGGCCTCAGGGCTCCGAGCTGGCCGCGCCCTGTTCGCTCTTCCCGTACCAGGCAGCAGCCGGGGCGCCCCATGGATCTGTGTACCCGGCTCCCAACGGGGCGCGCTACCCCTATGGCTCCATGCTGCCCTCCGGCGGCTTCCCCGCGGCTGTGTGCCCACCCGGGAGGGCGCAGTTCGGCCCGGCTACCGGCGCTAGCAGCGGCTCGGGCGCAAGCGGCGGCGGGGCAGTCGGCCCGGGAGCCTATCAGTACAGCCAAGGGGCTCCGCTCTATGGGCCCTACCCGGGGGCGGCAGCCGCGGGTTCTTGCGGAGGATGGGGGAGCTTGGAGGTTTCTGGTTCCAGTTTACGCGCCCATGTCTACCTGTGCAACCGGCCTCTGTGGCTCAAATTCCACCGCCACCAAACCGAGATGATCATTACCAAACAGGGCAGGTGAGCGCAGCGCGGAGGGGCCCCCGGGGCTCGGGGATGAAGAGGGAATGTGTGGTCCTGGGGAAGGTTGGAGTTGCACTTTGCTAGGAGAGTGTTTTTCCCAGCGCAGCAAGTGGAGACGCCGCATCTCCCAATTCGTTGTCCCTCCCGGACCGCCCACCCGCGCGGTTTGTGCAGGGTGCTAATGTTACGGCAGCTTCTTCCCTCCCGTTACCCTCACCTGGACTGACGAGGTGGAGGCGGAAATGGAATTTGGGGCTTGCTCACAAAGCTGGATTTACTAGATTCTCCCACTCCGTGGTACGCTGTTCCCTGCTTGCCTGAGAGGAACCGCGGACAGCGGGAGGTACAAGGGTTGGCCCCCTGAGCGCAGTAGATGGGCTCCCGCAGTTTGAGGCGCCACAATCTCTATGGGGCGCCTTTGGAGGATGGGCGTGAGGAGCAGAGCACGGGCAACCCGAGGGTAGCTGGGTAGGCCGGCCCTGGAGCCAGACCTGGCTGGGGGTCGCGAGTGAGAAAGTTCTGATGCACATCCAACTGCTAACAGTGGTTACGTCTACGGAAAGTAAGGAGTGAATGCTGGGAGAGGGGCTCTCAAAGGGGACTTGTAGTTTCATGAGTGGAATTGACAAAATATATATTTTTGACAAGAACCACTTCATGTTGTTCTTTGGCACTTGTACGTATAAAAATTAATGATTTTTAACATGAGAAAACTGAATAAGCATCTAAAAAGGTCGAGAACTTGAGTGGGGAGGGCGCAGAAACACGTGAGTTTGGGAAATACTGACTTTGGGGCAAATTATTTAGCAACAGGGATGTTCACAAAGAGTTGCCACCGCAAAAAATATTTTATATAATAAGGGTCGCGTTCTCTGCCGGTATTGTTTTCATTCTGTAGACTTCTAAATGTCGTCCTCTGCCCCTCCCCAGGTGTCCGCGAACCTGGCCGAGTATGGGCCCGCTCACGGGCATCGGGATTAAACCGCTTGTCTTGGTTCTGTTCCCTTGTACAGACGCATGTTTCCTTTCTTGAGCTTCAACATAAACGGACTCAATCCCACAGCTCACTACAACGTGTTCGTAGAGGTGGTGCTGGCAGACCCGAACCACTGGCGTTTCCAAGGGGGAAAGTGGGTGACCTGCGGCAAAGCCGACAATAACATGCAGGGTGAGGAAAGAGCAAGACCGGGCAGGCAGGAGCGGTGGGGAGCCCTTGACCCTGCTTGCAATTCACATTTAAATGTGCCCCCCCCCCCCGAATCTGGGGCCTAGAGATGTTAGCATGAGTTTCTTTGTGTTTGACTGAGGGAGAGAATTGCTAAATCAGGCTTCTTGCCTACCGATGTACAGGGCTTTAACCGTAACCCTACTCCATACCCCCCACCCCCACCCCTGCGTTTGAGAAATGAATTGTCATAACCTATCCCGGTGGCAAAGGCTCCTGGCATTCTCATCTTCCCTTGAGAAAGCCCTCCTCAAGATTGAGTCCCACCAATGAAAATCCAACCATTTCCGTCAGACGTTGCCCTTTCAGTTTTATTTGAACTTCACAAGGCATCTCCTGTTGGCCCCGTTTTAGTATTTTGAGAGAGTGTTAAGATGAGCACCTTATCCAGGGAAGGCTGGAAGCACACAGGCCTTGGGGGTTGGGGAGGGGATATCAGGGGAGCCTGGTTGGTCTCCGCTGGCCTCCTTAAGCAGTTAGTGCTGGGGAGATTTGTGCTGTAAATCCTGCTCTTAAACCTTGCCCATAGGTAGCTGACATCCCTCCCTCTTACTCTCCATTTGTAAACAGCCCTATATGCTTGGGTTTTGTGTTTTGTCTCATTTTTCTCTTAGGCAACAAAATGTATGTCCACCCAGAGTCTCCTAATAATGGTTCCCACTGGATGAGACAGGAGATTTCCTTCGGGAAATTAAAACTCACCAATAACAAAGGCGCAAATAACAACAACACTCAGGTAGAGTGACAGGAGGAGGGGGTGTCTTCTGGCTATAGATGTCTTTTCTGACAAATTTTCATACTCTGTATTTATATTTGCAGTGTGACCTGTTTGCTCGTCTGTTTCTAAGCGTTTTGGTTTTTTTTCTTTTGACTTTTTTCATTTTCACTTTCTTACTAGATTTCAGCAACAGTGAGTTGACTATTAGGAACAGAAATACTGAAATCTTCGGATGAATTAGGAAACCAATAGGGAAGAATGTTTCTCAAACATGCATACCCAGCCATGTTTTCAAAAATGGCCATATCAAGATCTTAAAAGTGGCAATAGAAAAAAAAAAGATAGCTGTCGGTGGGGAGCAAGCAGAAATCCCATTCCAAAATATGTAATTTGTCAAAATCAACTGTTGTTGAGCCTCTAAGAGACATTTTGGATTTGACCCCTTTTTCCCTGTACCCTTTCCAGATGATAGTCCTACAATCTTTACACAAGTACCAACCACGGCTGCACATTGTTGAAGTTACAGAGGACGGCGTGGAGGACTTGAACGACCCCTCGAAGACTCAGACCTTCACCTTCTCAGAAACACAGTTCATAGCCGTCACTGCCTACCAAAACACCGATGTGAGTATTCCAAACACCCCAAGACTCTTTCAAAACTAGGTCCGGGGTGATACAGCACTCAATAACTATTTCCTCTCCTATCTAGATAACTCAACTAAAGATTGACCATAACCCCTTTGCAAAAGGCTTCAGGGATAACTACGATTCGTAAGTACAGCTCTTATTCATACTCGCATGTCATTTTGCACAGGACATACATAATCAAACACTTTCCTGAGAACATATTCCAGGAAGAGTGGGCATATTTGGGATTTTCACATCTATATCTTGGCTAACCTGGCTTTAGAATTTTCACAGAAGAATTTCTTTAATTTCTAAAAAATATGTTGAGGGCTTAAAACTGTGGAGCTTTTTTAAAAAACATTTAAGTGGAGATTTGAAATTTTCGTAATCTGCTTTTACATACCTTCCTTTCCATGTAATCCAACTTTTTTTTATCCTCTCAGGAACAAGTATTATTATTCTCCCCCCCCCCGCTTTTTTTTTAAACATAAGAAAACCCTGAAACTAAAAAGATGTAATTTTCACCACATCAACAACAAGGCCCTGCAAATGCATTTTAAATTTGGGATTTCTCACACCACCGCAAGCATTCCTTCCAACACACTGACAAGGGAGAGTTGCTCTGAGTTCTTCAAATCCTAGGATTGGCCAAGGTGGATTTTCTATGGTCGAAGCGCTTAATGCTTGGGAGGGAACTTTTTCTGAGGTGGTGGGAAATTTTTCCCGATGAACCAAGAGTTCAGCTCCAATGGCCCAGCATATCCCCTACCTCTGTCCCTCCATTCCAACCGACCAGCGCTCCTGGTACGGAGCCCAGTACGCCAGCCATTTTTATGTCTGGGAAATTGGTTTGTTTGGGGGACAACATTAGGTTTTTTTTTTTAAGTGTTTCTCTTTATATTGTAGCATGTACACCGCTTCAGAAAATGACAGGTTAACTCCATCTCCCACGGATTCTCCTAGATCCCATCAGATTGTTCCTGGAGGTCGGTACGGCGTTCAGTCCTTCTTCCCGGAGCCCTTTGTCAACACTTTACCTCAAGCCCGATATTATAATGGCGAGAGAACCGTGCCACAGACCAACGGCCTGCTTTCACCCCAACAGAACGAAGAGGTGGCCAACCCTCCCCAGCGGTGGCTTGTCACACCTGTCCAGCAACCTGGGACCAACAAACTAGACATCAGTTCCTATGAGTCTGAATATACTTCTAGCACCTTGCTCCCATATGGTATTAAATCCTTGCCCCTCCAGACGTCCCACGCCCTAGGTTATTACCCTGACCCAGCCTTCCCTGCAATGGCAGGATGGGGAAGTCGGGGTGCTTATCAGAGGAAGATGGCGGCTGGACTCCCATGGACCTCCAGAACAAGCCCCCCTGTGTTCTCTGAAGATCAGCTCTCCAAGGAGAAAGTCAAAGAAGAAATGAGCTCTTCTTGGATAGAGACGCCCCCTTCCATCAAGTCTCTTGATTCCAACGATTCTGGGGTATACACCAGTGCTTGTAAGCGAAGGCGGCTGTCTCCCAGCACCTCTAGTAATGAAAATTCTCCCTCCATAAAGTGTGAGGACATTAACACTGAAGAGTACAGTAAAGACACCTCAAAAGGAATGGGGGGATACTATGCTTTTTACACAACTCCCTAAAGAGGTATTTTAACCTCATAAAAATGAGCTAACTTTTTGCAGATGGACTTGGTGTTTTTTTGTTGTCTTCTTTGCCTAGGTTGCCAAAAAGACGTTTGCCTTCCATCTTGATGCATCCTGTTTTGTGCAATTCTCTGAAAGAAGGTGCCAAAGCTTTTTGATTGCTGCAGGTAACTGAAACAAGCCTAGTATTTTATTTTTTCTTTTCAAAGTAAAGTTAATGGAGGAACTTGAAAGTGTTTTCAAATTTGAAGGTTATTCAAGGTTCTGGATTTATTTATTGGAGACACTAAAAGTTCAGAGAAACGGGCTGTGAAGATGGAGTGCTGAGCACTGTGAAATGAGTTGAAAGCTTTGGTTCTTATTTCTATTTTTAAATCTGTAAGCAAATAGAAGCCCGGTCCGTGGTTCAAGTATTTTGCTTCTGGAAGAGAAGGGCTGGGCCTTGAGCTTGAACAGTGGACTTTTTTTGCTGTTACGTTCTGCTAGGGACAAAAGATGTTAGGCCTGGGAGGCAAGAAAAAACTTTTGTGAAGGTGCTGGTTTTACCTGACTTTAATGTCTCCCAGGCTTTCAAAACAAGCCATGTTTGCCCTAGTACAGGATTGCCTCACTTGCTAGGCCTCTGTATGTCGCCCTGGTGGCTTGTAGGACTCAGGAGAGGGCAAGGGAGGGAGTCAAAAAAGAAGAAAGAAAGAAAGTAAAAGAAAAACTTTAAAGTGTACAGTTGTGTGTGCTTAGATACACTGTAGAATAATGTGGAATATATTGTACAAATAGTCTACATAGGTGTCTGAGATTATGTAAAATTGGTGCTTTGGCTTTGTAAAAAAAAATTGCAAATCACCTGACAACAGCTGCAGGGGCAGGGGGCTAGTTCTCTCCTCATCCCCACCATATTTTGGACTATTCTGTTTACTTCTTAGATAGTTAAGAATGTATTCAGCTACTCTGTACTAACTTGAACTGTGTCTAAGGGAAACTCCTATTTCACCCTCTTCCTTTGCCACCCCACCACCCAACTTGGTAATGTGAAGAAAACCTGATGCCACAGCTCCTAGAAGCTTTTTAGAAATCTTGGATTTTTATGTATAGTATTAGTCATTTTTAATAAATGTGGCTCATTAAGGGAACAGGCATAGCTTTTTGTCTTCTGTACTGTGGGTTTTAATCTTTGTTTTAAAGATCTGATTTTGCTTCCTCCTCCAGCCTTCCCGTTTCCCACTAACCCCTTCCCCCCATGGAAGGCTCTAGAATCCCTTTAAGTGGACACTGTAGTCACCAGGGGGCTAAGGATGCTTTTGTTTATCTTCTTTTTTCCTTGAAGATGAAGAGGGTTATTTCCTCTCCCCACTGGGAAGTCTGGACAATGGGTGTTGGGGCTAAGGGGTGGGGGTTGCCCAGATGCAAGATGGCCCACGCCGGGCTAATCCAAGCCTGGAAAACCTCCGCCCCCTGCCCTTGATGTCCGGCCCGTGACCACTTAGTTCTGTGGGATTTTTCCTCGCCTTACTGGGGGCCACCCATCCCTGGACGTATGTGGGCTCCCTGGGAACCCCCGCAGCCCTTTGAGCGCCCACGAGTTCCGGGTACGTGAGGAGTCGTGGGGAGCTAGCCGCCCACAGCTTAGCTCCTGCTCCCACCTGCGGCTTTCTTCTACGTGGAGCTCTGGGGCTCACCCGCCGCCGCGGGCTGCGTGCCTCGGTCGCTGCTGGTCGGGGCGCTTTGCGGGCAGCCAAACTCGCCCAGATACGCTGGGACTGCAGCGCGGTTGTGACACCTACAAAGGAAGATTCCAGTCCCGCGCACCGCCCCCCTGCAAACAGCCGCCAGGCAGCAGTTCGCTTCGCGTTTAGCTGCGTTTATTTGGCTATCATTCCCTGGGAGGGCGAAGGCCACCCAATCCCCTGGCTGAGCCCTGGGTTGGCCAGAGGTAAACCAAGGAGTGGGGTGGAGGGCCCTTTGTCCCCCTGCCAGACGTCCCGCCAGGCTTATCTGCAGACGGCTTCTGGCCCAGCTTGCAAACTTTTCCAGGCCCCCTCCTGACCCTCCCGGGGTAAAGGTCTGGCCAGGAGGGTAATTCTGCTAACTGTGTGGCGCGGAAATGCAGCTGCTAAGAGGATTAGCTGCTGGGAGGCAAGCAATCAGCCGGGACCTCCTTCCCTTCCGCGCCCAATTAAGGCTGCTAGGAGCTCGTACCTGGCTTTCCCCCCGTTTCCCATTCCATCTACCCTTCCGGTACCCGAGCTCTGCCCTCACCGCCCGTGACTCTGACTCGAGGCCCGCGGATTCCCGGACCGTGCCGACTCAAAACGCTTTACCAAAAGAAGCGAGAGCTTTGAAATGTGGTGTAGGTATATGTATTCTGGATGACAGATTCAGACTCAGGGAAGAGGACTCCTAATCCCCCTAACCTGGTTAGCGCGTTCCCCCTTCCCATTCCCAAGGAGCCGCAGCGTAGTGGGAGATGCGATGGAATTTGGAAATGGTGCTCTCCTGTTCTGCCCTCTAGAAAGCCCGAAACTGCTAATCATCACCAGGATAAAGCCGACTCTGGCCCCAGTTTATTTCAAGTCCTGTATATCTTTGCACCGCACAGTAAAAAGAACCTGGTACTTGTGAAAAGTCCCTCACAGTGTTTAATAGAAACGTTAGTAGCTGAGTGGCCCCAATTAACACCTTGTGATAAGGCATTCCTAAGATGGAGTGTCAGACACCAAATTGTGAAGAGATGTATCTAATTAATCCTCCTAGGATGACACCGATAAACAAGCTTCTATTTAAATAAAGATCAAGGGCTCGGCGCCCCTCTGTTTACATTCTCCACCGGGGTCTCGGCGTTTGCACCCGCGCAGGCGGCGCGTTACCTGCGCAGCGTGGAGACTCCAGATTAGGGGTCTGCTGGCGGCTCAGGAGGGTTCGCTTCACCTCTGTTCATGCCCCAAACGAAAATATATAATAAAACAAGTAAATAAACCACAACGAAAGAGAAAAAAGGCAGAAACAACCCGACTTAGAGTTGGAAATACTGTTGGCCATTTTCCAAACGTGTCCTTTACGTCGCCACTTTTTGTTGTTCGGGTTTTAAAAAGCGGGGCAAACGAAAAAAAGCAGCCAGCCCGTAGCCTCTGGAAGTCTTTTCTGCTTTGGGGAGAACTCGGAGCAGGACCTTCCTCCATCCTCCACCCCACCCTCGCACGAGTTTGCGCCCCCCCCCCTCCCGTGGCCCCAGGATTTCCCCCTCTCGGTGCTAAAGCTGAGAACTGCTGGGACATTGGGTAGCTCTCCTGGGGGTGGGGGCGGGGTGGGGAGCCGCCCACTGGAAAAGGCAGGATGAGTTAAAAAAAAAAATCGGAGAGGAGGGGCAGCTGCAGACTAGCGCGCCCAACTCCATCGGTGGATCGGGGCCGCGGTTTGGAGCTCGCTCGGAGTCTGCAGCAACGCATCTCCCAACTTCGCAAAGGAGAGTGTGGAGGCTCCAGGTCAGCTTCTGGTCCTAGAATCCTTCCTTTCCAGTCACCATTAGCTTTAAACCTGGGTGTAAGGGCAGACTCACGGTCCTCCCTTTCCTCTGCAATCTCTTCCTTCTTAAGCAAACAAGGAAAGTGGGCGCGGGGATGATACAGGTTATTTTAAAATTCTGCACGTGTCATGGAAACGCTCGGAATAGAAACATTCCCGCATGCCTCTTGATTTTAATCGAAACTGAGCCTCCAGTAGGGACAAAAAATTTAAATCAACTCATTTTCCACCCGCCTGGACGCTGCGTCCTTCGGTTTTCCTGCTGGCGCCTCGATGTACCCACCCCGCTGCACGCAGACTCAAAAGTTTGGCTTTCACCTCTTGGTGATTTTGGCACCACTGGGAAGCTCTTTTAAAAGGAGTTTGCAAAACTCTGTTGGTGAGTCCGACTGAGTCCACGTCTATGAAATCCCCATACCTCCATCCCCCATTCCTCAAGCTTAGGCTTTCGAGTACGCGAGCTCCGCAGGCCCAGCCCGGGTGGACTCGAACCCGCAGAATCTGTCCACCAGAGCCTGTCTCTGTCGAGGGTCGGCTTCCCTCTTGCGATTCGCAGAGACCTGGACTCAGCGCATACACTTGGGGTTCACGCGGGTTACCGCCCGCGCGAACCCGGCAAGGGCTGGAGATCCACCCCCGCCCATGATCTCAGTGGTTCGTGGGCAGCCTGAAGTTACATTTATTTTTTTAATACGATGGAGACTCTGACCTTGGTGACCGCCGAATTTCACCTTATTATGGCTTAAAAGAAAAGTCAACTCCTGGCCATCCATTCACCTCTCTCCCCATCTCTCCTTCGGCCCTAGGAACCCTTTGCGTGTCGCCGAGATCGTGCATCAAGTCAGGGGAAGGAGTTAGCTGCGCCAGATACGGAGCAGGCCCTCAGCGATGGTCCCCGAAGAGTCCCGGCTTCTTTTGGGTCCCAGACCGCCCCCGAAGCGCTGGTCACTGCTTATTTTAGGCAGCAGGGCTCGTACCCACAACTTTAATCTCTCCCGGTCTCCTTAAAAACTCCTAAACTTCCTTCTTATAAGCTCTTGTGGAGGCAGCAAGGCTTGAACAGTACCTGGTGATTTTAGGCTAGACTCAGCTTTCTCTGCGCCGTTGGCGGGAAAGAGGACCCGGTGCTTTTCGCTTGGCCTTCGGGTCTGGCCGCGTCCTCCGCGCGGTGCTGCCGCCAGCGTTCTCCTCTGCGCCGCGAGCAGCCTTCGCCATCTGGTGGCCACGACGAGTAAGGATCCCCCCAGCCGACTAGGGCTTCCTTCCACTCGTCAGAAGTCGCTGATGTGTCAGGTCCTGAAGCGTTCTAGAAGTCTTTTCTTCATCCCACTCCGACTCTTCTTTTTGAAAGCTTCGTGGTGGGCGGGGAGGAGCCCGGAATCTGGAATTCTAAGACTCGAAGTTCTAGACCTGGGCTCTCGCGCACTCGGTCCAGTTCAGCGTGGCTTCTTTGAACTTCATTTCCTTCATTTCCAGCACCTGTCTCGCCACGTAGTACCCAGGAGGACGAAATGAGAGTATAAATGTAACTGCTTTGTAAACTGTTGAGTTGCTCCAAGTATTAGTAGGCATTATTAATTACTCATTTTATCACATGGTATGTGATGGTAAACTCAGATGCCTCGAGAAATGAAATATTTTTTTATTAATTCAAAAATAATGACAAAATTTCAAACATACATGAAAGTAGAGGGCAATGGACCCCCATGTAGCTGTCTTCCAGCTACAACAGGCATTAACTCATGGCCGCTCTTGTTTCATTCTATCATCCCAACCCCATTCTTTCCACCACACATCACAGAAATCCCTGTCATCTAATCCGTAGTGTTTCCTTATATAGCCTTAGAAGATACGAATTCCGTGTGTGTGTGTGTGTGTGTGTGTGTGTAAAGTTTTTGTTGTTTTTCTTTGTTTTACAGCTGGTTTTTTTGAATCAGGATCCAAACAAGTGCCACATATCTGGTCAATGTATCACTTAATTCTCTGAATCTAGATGTCTCCCCCTTGTTCCCCTCTTTTATTTCCCTTTCAAATTTATTGAAGAAGTTTGAGCATTTATTCTGTCTAGTTTTCCAGGTTCTGGCTTTTGCTGATTGCATTCCTGTGATGATAACATGATCCTCTGACCCTTGTATTTCCAACAAAGTGGTAATTAGATATGAAGGCTTGATCTGTTTAAGATTCTATGTTTTTAGCAACGCTATTCATACGTGGATAGTAATCTTCTATCGGAAAGCTTGTGATGTCTGGATTGTCTCTCCTTGGGGTGTGCCATTGTCCATTGATGGTTGTCAGCTAGAGCCATTATTTCATTAAGGATTTGACAAAGAAGGTAAGTTTCAGTAGAGCTATTATTATCCACTACATATACACGAGAAAGTTTTACTCAATTACACTTTGTTTTTTAACGTGTTTTTTCCCAGCTTTATTGAGATATAATTGACATATAACATTGTGTAAGATATAGATATGTCAATTTTCATTCATTGACTCATTCATTCATTCATTCATTCATTTGTTGATGTACAGTAAGGTTGTTTCCATGTTTTGGCTATTGTGAATAATGCTGTGATGAACATGGGGGAGCAGATATCTCTTTGAGAGGGTGGGTG